AATTTAATATGCATACAAATATTTCGTGTCGTTTGTGATTTTTAAACTACTTTTCTAAATTTCCTATATTTTTACGTAAACAACCAATGTTAGATTTCGGATACATTTTTTTTTTTTTTTAAATATGTTTAAAACATGGACTACCAAAAAAAGGCAAAATAGTTAACGTTGGTGATAAAGCCAGTTAAGTTAAATCATTTAAACATAAGTTTAACTTGTTTTATTATTTTCGATAATTGGTGACCAGTAATTTTATAGTCAACAATAGGTATGAACAATTATTATTAAAACTCAAGGTTGCCCGAACTTGAATTCCGAAATTTCTGTACTTTTGCTATTAACGGATCTTTATTTTATTTCCTTGAATTATAACTCAGAAAATAAATAAACGATACTTGTATAGCACTTTAAAGAAATTATAATAACCTCAAAATTGTTCCCAAAATAATGGATAATAATTTTTCAAAATAATTCGATGTGATATTAAGGTCTTAAAAAGTAGAGCAGGGAAAATCAAATGTGTGACATATTATAACTCGGTATTTTACTAAAAGACATCACTCAGTGGCTCAATTGCATAAGACCGCTTCTTTCATAAACGTTTATATTATGTTAATATAAGTTAGGTGTTGGTGAAGTATACATCTAAATAGATGCATCTAGTATAAAATGTATGAAAATTAATATAATTAAGCAGTCATATTCAATTATTAGTAAGACTGAGTACAGAATACGTAGCGAGATCCTAGGTAAATATTTGTTTCTTCTAGGCACACGCTATAAAATTTTTCAAATCAATTAAATAAAAAATAATTCTTAAAATTGTTCAGTTTTAGACCGAGAGTATTCGAAGATGTAAAAGGAGTAAAAAAAAAAATGTCCAAGCCTTTAACGAAGAGACGAGAAGGGATATTTTTCAAAAATATTGGTGTGGGAGGAAAAAGAAGACTTTTGTAATTAGCATGGTGACAAACACATTACGTAAGACACTACTGGACTTGGAGATGAAAGCCGAAGATCAAGTACATTTATTTATTTCTTAAAGCATAAACATTCGGAGTCACACAGTTATCATTCAAATTATCATGGAGTATCAACTGTTTACGCGCTTTAATAAAGTCAATTCAGCAGCAAAAATAGTGCATACTCCCCTGGAATATAATTTAAGCGTCTTATTTATGTCAGGTCATCTATAAAGATAGGATTATTCATAATCGTTGCCATTATAAATCCTTGGATTGGTGTCTATGTAGAGCTAATGATATCAGTGGCACGCGTTTCAATAACACTCAAGTGACTCAATTTGAGAGCCATCTGGTATCGGCGGCCCAGTTTTTGTTAAATTGTGAGGACCGGAGGAATGTTTCTCTGGCTCTGAGTCGATCACGAGCAATTAGTTTCATAGTAGCTCTAAAAATATAGCAATGGATACGGAAGACCATTTTACAGTTTCAAACGGAAATTTCGTTACATTAACATGTTTAGGAAACCATGTAGGATTGGCTAATGCCTTAATAGATAATCCTTATACTGAGGAGGAGCTAAATAAAACAATTGGCCCAATTTTAGATTTTATTCGAGATGAAATAGATACTAGAGATATTAATAGAGTTTGTAAGGCATTTGCAAGAACTATTGATACCTTAATAGTACAGGGCATGTTTTTGGGAGATATATTAGATGAGCTTAATAATAATAATATTTAATAATAAGTACTAATAATAATTAATTTTATATTGGTATTGCGATTAGTTTTTAATTTAATTAACAATTTTTAAGTTCTGTAAGTGAAATTTTTAATTACTCATTTAATTTAATATTTAAACAGTTCACCATGGAATATCAGCTATTTGCACGATTCCATAAGGTCGATTCGGCAGCAAAGATCGTCTATAGCCCATCAGAATATAATTTAAGTGTGTTTTTTTATAGTTTATGTCAAATCATTTATAAAGATAGAATTCGCCATAATAGATACCATTATAGATCCTTGGATTGGTGCCTAGGTAGGGCGAACGTCGTTAGTAACACTAGTTTCACCAGCACTGACTTAACTCAGTTTGAGAACCATCTGGTAGCAGCGGCCCAGTTTTTGTTAAATTGTGAGGACCGGAGGAATGTTCCTCTGGCTCTTTTGTCCTTAGCACCAGGGATAAGCAATCCACATGCGTTATTGCATTTCCCTCAGGTGACGATTAAAAACCAGCCGCAGGGTGTCTCACCGAGGTCACCATCCATTTTATCTGCACCTGACATAATAGCACCTAGACCTATTGCCGTAGTTAAAGGATACCGTAGAGAATAGTAGAAATTCGTTTTTTTTTAATTCATATAACTTATACTAAATTTATTATTTTAGCATTTTTTTTCTCTCACTATATTTAGATAACGTATACTAAAAAAAAAAAAAAAATTTTAAGATATAATAAAAAAAATTATATATATTTTATTTTTATAGTTTACATACTAGATTAACTTATTTTATTAACTAGAATTAGATATATTTTTACTTTTAATTATCATATTTTTGGAACTATATGCAAGCACTAATTCATTTTTATTATTAAAAACTGTATTATAATAACTTCTTAATTAATCAATAATATTTAGATAACTCAAATCAATGTATTACACTGAAGAATTCGTAATGCAAGTTGAGGAATTCATAATGTCAGGAATTTGCAATAGACCTTCTTTTCCTACATCACCTGATGTCACGAAAAGAGATGATATTTATTTTAATAATTTTATACAGTTAACCCATCAGGATATCTATATATCAGTTCCTACTCATAAATATAACTTAAGAAATAACATTACTAAAACTTACAAAACTTTATCAATGTTAGTAGAAGATGCTAACGAAATGTTACATCGAACAGGTAATGAATTATTTAGCACAGAGGAATTAAGTGAAATAGAAATAAGCTTGAGGTTAGCCGCCCAACAATTAGCAGGATGTCTTAACACAAAAGATGAATGAGAAATGAGTTCTACAATGTCACGAAATGAGTTCTACACTATCACTGCCATTGCCACTGTAAGTATTATATTGACTGTAGTTTATTACTCACATTTTATGGCACAACCGAACGGCACATTTTGTTTAACAAACCACGAGAGAGCTCGCTTATTTAAAAATAAAATACTAATAGAATTAGACAACCAAAAAAAAAGCAATTATAAAAAAAATATGGAGATGTATAAAAAACATGAACTAGATAATAAAATAAATAGAATGTTTAAAACAATTATTAAAACTTTTGGAGAAAATATTTTTATAAAAAAAATGATAAAAAAATAATAATTATTAGTTTATTTTTTTAATTTTAATGTATATTTAGAAGGTTTGGGTTTTTTTCATATAGTAAATGTTAAGAAATATTACAATAAATAATTTAAGAGAAGTAATTATTAAGTACTTAAGTTTAAGTTGATTATTAAAACATACTTGTAAATATTTATATAAATTTGTAATAAATATTGTTTTTTTTTTGTGCTACCTATTTGTAATTTAGTTGTAAACTTTCATATAATCAAAAAAAATGTTCTTCATAGTTTTCAAAATGTCACAAACTAAAAGCTCAAATTATTCCGAGGTATGTTTAAATTGGTTTAGAGGAAGTAGAATCGTTTAGAAAGAGACGTTCAAAAACTTATTTTTTAAAAAACTTGTTTAAGTTATTAGACTTCACTACATTTTTTGAATATGCCACATCTTTTTTATTACCAAAAATCAAAGAAGAATGTCAAAACACATCAATCAAATTTAATTTATACCTTGATTGTGTATACGAAAATTTAATGAGCTTTGAAATTAGAGATATTGCCTTCAAAAATTCAAATGTTTTCACAACATCAGGTTCAGATGTAACCTAACTATTAAAATATATAACATTACCAAAAAAACTCCAAAATAAGAAAGCTGTAAACATCTTCTATAACAATGATGAAAAATGTTTTAAATATGCTATTTCGTCTAAATTTGATGTGCGTAATAACAAAAGTAGATTTCTTAAAAAATATTTCAATTATTTGGAGATAAGTAGTAAGTTAGATTTTAGTTGTGTAAAATATCCAACTCCAATCAGAGATGATAAAAAAATTGCAAATATTATTAAGTACTTAAGTTTAAGTTGATTATTAAAACAAACATACTTGTAAATATTTATATAAATTTGTAATAAATATTGTTTTTTTTTTTGTGCTACCTATTTGTAATTTAGTTGTAAACTTTCATATAATCAACAAAAAATGTTCTTCATAGTTTTTAAAATGTCACAAACTACAAAAAGCTCAAATTATAGCGAGGTATGTTTAAATTGCCCGTTAAACGTAGACCATCTTATTCCGGCAAAAAAAATACACCCGCACCTTAGGAGGAAGCATGGTGTGGAAAATGTCCACGCTGGGATATATGGAGGATGGTTTGACGAGAAGGTTTTTGGTGTAATAGAAGATTGGGATGACGAGGCGCAAGTTCCAGCAGCAATTAATAAAAATGTTTACTTTCCGTACAAATCTTAATTTGTATAATTTTTTTTGCTAATCTATAAAATAAAATAAATGTTGATCACCCTACTTTATAATTATCTTTTATTCTCTTTTAGCAGTCGGTTAATTGTACACTAGAATTAAACTATACAATATCATTCAAATACTCTATGTTTGTAGGTACTTAATAAAGTATGATGTGTTATGACCCTACCCTTCAGTTAACCAATAAAGGTTAAGATAAAAGGTCAATGGCCGAACTCAGTCGTCGTCGTCGTCGTCGGATACCAATTTTAAATTGGTGAACAAGCAACCAGTACGAGGTTCGCGGCGGCGGCGGCGGCAAAAAGTCGGCGCGTGTATGCACGTGGGCGGACGAGTTTGCCATATGGTCGCGTGCGTCTTTAAGTGGTGGCGCGTGCACGGACGTGGGTAAAGTTGTTTATAATAGCGTTTCGTGCGTAGTTAACGAGTTAGTGCGAGCCAATGACGCACACAACTAGCGATATAAATACAAGTCAAATGGACTCGAAAATTAGTGCCGTTCAACACTTTAACCAAGACACACCGAAACTACGTAGTTCTTTTTTTCAACGACGAGATGGATTTCCAAGAAATAGACTTATTCGCTCCGACTCCTTCGACGTCCACGGTTCAACCTCCGACAAAACCGACGAAGCAAGCTACGCTGAAGAAACGGCCCAACTCCAAACTGGGGTTTTCTTCGGGGCAGAAACATCCGCCGCCGACAAAACGCACCAAACCGTTGACGGACGGGCAGGTGATCGAGTTGGACGATTCGGCCGACGAGGAACACAACAAACTATGGAAGAACATGCAGTCGACGACGTTACTGAATTTGCCGGTAAAGACGATCGTCGACTTGGGCGAATTCACAAATTTTTCGGGCTTTATGGAGGTTCTCCTCGAAGACGACGTGCCGCAGCAGATGTTGATGCCGTCGATAGCCGTGGTCATTATGATGGCTGTTCTGGTGGAAAAAAATCCAAGACCGGGCATGCCGAAGGCGGAACTGTTGTCGACACTGCTGAATTTTCAAACGTGGAAAACTCCGACCACGACGTTCATGACGACCTTGAAGAAGAAATTTTACGAGATACCGATATGCCGTATTCCGCAACCGGACCAGTCGACGACGGCGGACCAGGGCAATTTGTTCGACACTTATCTCATTCTGGCGGCCCAGATATATTGGAAGACGACGACCGACTGCTTGGAGAATACGCCACTCAGCTCCGTAACCGATATCTGGGCAGCAATTTCGCATACCTCTCGGACATATGTGTCCCTGAGGGACGCGCGGAATTTGCTAGCCTTTATGCTGAGTTTGCAATGGGACTCAGACGTTGCGAACAAAGTACCCGTGACCAATTCCGCATCGTGTCGGAACACGGGGACCACGTGCACGTCGTCCACGCCTGTTCTTACGCAAACTCAACTTGTCGCTGTGCCTGGATCCGTGGTAGCGCCGTCTGGAGGTCAAGACGACGAAATCGATATAGACGACGAGTTTTCGTCGCTGACCTCCAAATTGTCGACTGGAAAAATATCCTTGGATATTTCACTGCAAAAGGATACGCAGTCAAAGACTGCCAAGGCCCACGTGATGATGGAGGATTTCGTTTACGAATTGAAAATTTACAAGTAAGTCCGACGACGGCGATTGCAATACGTGTACGATATATTAAATTTTTTCGCGTACTGTTGTTACAGGAAAGAAGAGATCCGCAACCTGGACCGCTCACAGTGGTACACCCGTGTCCACGTCAAGGGAGTGGGCACGACCAAGGCGAACCATCCGACGAAACGAAAACTGGATGGTTTGGTGGGCGATCTAATGGCGGATCTCAAAACGAAGAGCAACTTACGTATGGAAAAGACTTTTTGCTATGGCCAAAAACACTAGAGCAATTGCTTCAGTCCTATCCCTGTTGTCCCCCCGACGCTTTCTTTCACATCAAAGAATTCTATGACAATCCTAAATTAAATTTCCTCGATGATTCCTCTAAAAAAGTACGGGTGTCCCTGCGAAATTGGTGCGCGCGTTAAACAGTTCACCATGGAATATCAGCTATTTGCACGATTCCATAAGGTCGATTCGGCAGCAAAGATCGTCTATAGCCCATCAGAATATAATTTAAGTGTGTTTTTTTATAGTTTATGTCAAATCATTTATAAAGATAGAATTCGCCATAATAGATACCATTATAGATCCTTGGATTGGTGCCTAGGTAGGGCGAACGTCGTTAGTAACACTAGTTTCACCAGCACTGACTTAACTCAGTTTGAGAACCATCTGGTAGCCTATTTTCATAGGAAACTGAAACTCCTCGTTAAGACCAACTATGAACAGCAAAGGCGGGTATGCAAAATGCCAAACTTCAAATTTCAGTTAACCAAATGCGTTTATTATTTCAAAACACTTAGATCTAAATTCAACATTAACTTATTGTCTTTACAATATTTATCTACGGTAGCGCGATATTTCGCATTAGTATTATACATATATAAATTTCGAGTGCCTATATTCATCCAACGATCGCTCACGCTATCGGGTCGTTCGCGATAGTACGGCAAGTCTATAAACACTTTGATTTCAACCAAAATTATAGATAAACATAAATAGTTTTTTAATAAGTTACCAGAAAGATTTCAGTAAGAACAAATTATTTTCAATAGTTATCAAGTAACGCACAAATTAGTCACGTTGTCAAATTTTTAAACATTGTACACGCTTATGTTTATGACAGCATTGTTAGCGTATAGGCGGCTGTTAAATATTTTTAATATCAATGATGAATCCCTTCTTTTTTTTTTAAGTAACGATATTAAATCATAAAAAACTGACTTTTTACTTTTTAGCCAGTTTTTCTCCCATAAAAAGGTCGATCAATCTCTAGGAAAAAAAAATATATATATATATATACCGTTTCTTATTCTTTTATCAAAAAAAAAATTTTGCATTACTACTACTTAATAATCAAACCCCAAACTGGTCCAGGTTGGCATTTTTGGTGTTTATTTTTATTAATTCTAATTCAAATTATCATTGCCAGGTCTAGGATTCATTTCGTAATAATAGATTTCGAATTTGTAATCCTAAATCGAAACGACATAGCCTTGATTAGTGGAGCGATATATAACTCATTAGACAAATTCAAACTACAAAGACTAACGGGAAATCCAATTATTTTTAAAGAAAATAGAGCTCAAGAACCATTCAACACGGAGGACCACTTGGAAAAGGCGATGAATCGGTTGGATAAATTTTTTTTTAATGATCAAATAAAACTACAGGCTGTTTTTACAGAACTGTACGACAGTCTCTTTTTAGCAGATAATAACTTAAATTCAGACTTTCTGAAATCATATTATATATATATATATATATATATATATATATATATATATATATATATATGTTACATTGTACAATTTGTAAGTTTAACTATTAACTAAAATATGAGTATGTAACACGTGTCGATTTCACATCGAAACCAAAAGGGTTGAACTTAACAACGAGGCCAACTGCTAAAAGAAACGTAACGTTTTAGCAACTACTGCCAACTATAGCCAATTTTGTCTATACGAAAGCTGAACTTTGCACCGCCACTTGCTCCTCACCTTTGACGTAAGCGGTTGTCATCCACGCGCAGACTTTCGATAATTGCGAGGATTCCCACGCCCATTTAGCGAGCGGACCAGCATAAAAGGGAGAACTCCAGCCATAGCAGATTAGATGATTCCTGACACTGACAACGTACACTCACTTGCAATCATCACCCATGAGCATTTTGAGCATATATTGTTAAATCTGACGTACTTATCTTTACTTATACCATATTAAAATCATTGTGTTTTTAGTCGAAGTTATTTCATTTAAACACTTAAAAAACCTATCTCCACGATTGTGAAGAGATGCCTACAGCCTACAATACAACACGCAGGGCTACAGGGTCTTTACAATTATTAATAGCCTGATACCAGTAACCAGATTATAACAAGAGGGACGACCCTTAAACGGAGGTGAAGAAAAAACTGTGGAAGGAGGCGTCAAACGTCACGATTTTCGATCATGAATTGTAAACCAAAACAAACGTTCCTAGAAAAGGCCAACAGAATCAACGCGATGCGTTGGCCTATCTCCACGATTGTGAAGAGACGCCTACAGCCTATAATACAACACGCAGGGCTACAGGGTCTTTACAATAAAATAGAGAAATATTATTAAATATATAAATTTTATAATAAAATATAAAAATTGTATGATATATATATAGAAATATTATAAAATAAAGAAATTTTATAATGAAATATACTGTGGTCGAAACTTTAATGAACATATTAATTTATTAAACACTGATATGTTCAAGAGACATTGAAACAAAGGTTAAATAATGAACACTGTAAAATGCCACTTTAAAAACAGGTATATAGATCTCAATTCAACGTCAGCTTTCCCAAACCTAAAAAAAATCTCAACAACACGTGGAAAAAACGTTAGCTGAATTTAAAGAAGTATGATAAACATCTATTAAATAAATAAGTAGCTAGAAATACGAATTCTGATGAAATAAAAAAGAGCAGTTATTGAACAAGAACTTAGTGTGGTATCTTTTGATTTAGGTAGAAATCTAAAAACAAGCAATTTGTGCTAACATTTATTATTTAACTGTTTATGATACCTAACGGTAAAATATAACATTATTGTTCAATGTGTAGAATCTGAAACCTAAGAAAAAAAACATTTTCTTTCTACTCTGACAACTCAAGTGGGCAAAATCAAAGTAAAATTTTGTGTTCTATTTAGGAGTATATCGCATTTAAAATAAAAATAAAAATTACTCAAAAAAAAAAATAAGAACTTATACATAAAAAAAAATCAAAGCACTTTGATTTCAACCAAAATTAAAGATAAATTTAACATTATTAGTTCTTTAAGAAGTATACCAGACAGATTGCAGTAAGAACAAATTATTTTCAATAGTTATCGAGTACAAATTAGTCACTCAAGTCAAATTTTTAAACATTGAACACCATAAAGTTTATGGCAGCATTGTTAGCGTATAGGCGGCTGGCATATACTATTAATATCAATGATGAATCTCATTTTTTTTTTTTGTAATAATATTAAATCATAATAAACCGGCATTTACTTAATAAAATGTTATTTTACGCATCATTCAATGATGCTGAAACTGGGGAACGACTACTATTGTTTTGTTGTGTGTGAACGCGACCGTAAACCGTTCTTTCAGACTCGCCAATAATACGGTAGGTACATTAAATTCAATAAAAACCTTTAAACAACCAAGTTATTTATTTTTTCTTATTATATAAATATATATAACTCCATCCATATACTAATGGCATATTTTTCATTTTATTGAAACGTTTGACTATTAAGATTTCGTTTCACATCGAGTATAGTATAACCATAGAATAAATTTAATCAGAATGGAAACATAGTAGGCATATTCAATGACCTTCGGCCATTTTCTCGTTCCTTTATTCTTAAATGTATATCCATTTTAATATTTTATTTCACCCAGAAAACGAGCGCCGTTTTTTGTTTACAAAGTAGGTAGCTTTCCATTTCGGTTAAATTTATTCCATGGCATTAATATCAAATCGATTACATAACAGCTGTTACACACGTAATCGGTGACACGTAGCCGGTGACACAGAAGGCGATAACAATTTAATAAAATTGTCGTCCATCGAATTGCCGCCTTCGGCAATGTTGAAAATTTAAAAAAAAAGAACACTTTTAACTAAAAATCCAATAAAGAGAAACGTATTTTAATAAAATTGAATGCTACAATACATACCCGTCACACGAAACGGAAGTGCGTTTGAAATCCATTCGACGTTGGCGGCCATCTTTGCCGTGTGCACCACAAACAAGCAGCAATTGGATACAGGCGCGATTTTTTCATATCGCGCTGAAAACTATAACGTTAACGACGGAATTTCGAATACAACCGCAAAAGTTAAAACAATTATACAGGTGCACAACATCAATTGATGTTTTCAAGTAAAAAAGCATTACATTACATTAAACATTTTAACGAAACGTTCGACTCTGTGCGTTGTCGGAATGGAATGGGCGAACGGCAACCGAACTTCTGCGGGCGCCGAGCGAACGAGGCCGCTGACGGCTGGAAATGGACGCCGATCGGCCGGCAGTGGTGGGGATAGAGGCACAACGGAATACAAATATGGTTGTTGTCGACTGGCTGTAGTTCTGTTGAACATTCCATTGCACGATTCGTACACGGTATACTAACGCTGTATTAGTAAATATATATATATATACATATATGGGTTGTAATCTCCAATAACGATAACCTTGTTTCGAGCTTGTCTGACCGATCACCACTGACGCACTGCGGCCTGTGCACAGATTGAATGTGAAAGGCATATCAAATATATATATATTATTATAAAGTTCTACAAAATATTAAAAATTCCCCGATCTCACTGTGCATTAAATGTTTACGCCTTCACACACGTTATAAATTGTACTAATTAGGTATATCGACATTTTTGGAACACATTGTTCTTTACCGGGCACCCTATGTTGTTTTACCTTACCCCTATATTTTATTGTGCTGTAGTCTCTTCCAGTTCAAAAGTTATAGCTACTCAATCATATTGCGAATTATCGTTGCCCTAGTTTGAGAGTAAACGGGCAAAGTATGTTTGCCGCAAACATTGCAGCGACATCGACATTCACTTTTTTTTTTAATAATATATAACACCAGTAGGATTGCTGTTATTTCAAACCGAGTAGACGAGAAGACATACTTGTTTTCAACCATCACTCCTTTTGATCTCATTTACTGTAAAGGCACACCGCAGGACTATGCTGCTACACCATGTTACTACAGTTAGCCCGGTGAATTTTCGACAAATCAACGCAAGAATCATTATATTATATACAGCTTCAACTAACGCTATAAAAAATATCCTAAGGAGGGATTTCAATATGATTATTTTGAAAGAACTTGTTTAATTTCTTAGCAACTTGTATAAATACAAGAGGTTTAATTAAATTTAGTTGTATAAAATTATAAATTTAAATCACCAATAGATAATAACCTAGTTTTTACCTACACTAATAAATACTTAATAAGTCATAACTTATTACATAGCTAATAAGGGTATGTATTTTACAGCTAACAGGTGGTAATTACAAAATGTTGCGATGAGGTACTTTAGTTTGTTTTAACTTTCTACAATGTCAAAAGTCTATTGTACAAAGTGTACAAAAAAACCTTATCTGGATTATCAAGAGGTGAACGTTTTTTTTATAAATCATTAGCAGTTAACAATCTTAAAAATCCGACTAAGTATGCCAAGAATTTAATTTAAGGTCAATGTTTAACATATATTCGAAGAGCGAATTTGTCAAACGTTCTAAGTGCCAAAATATAAAAATTGAACTTTATAATTTGGTTTGTATTTCATTCATTACCGGAAACACTTAAGCATGTTTTTATGTGTTAAATAAGATTGTGTTTTTATAAATAACTATTTCTCACTTGACAAATATACAGCATTTCTCGGTTGCATAAAATTTCTCGCAAAAAAGCCTCAAACCCTCGCTCGAAAATTGTTGATGTCCCATATCTTTGGTTATGACATCCAACGTCCCAGTTTGCACAATATCGGTACGACGGTTTGAGGTCGGTTTCGGAGATGTCTGAAGTCAAAGGAATAAAAATAAATTACAGCAATAACAAATAAATAATCATATCTTTGAATATGACATCCGACGTCCCAGTTTGCACAATATCGGTATAATGGTTTGGGGTCGGTTTCGAAGATGTCTGAAGTCAAAGGAATAATAATAAACTACAGCAATAATAAAAAAAAAAAGCCAGTACAGTGGGGATGGGGAGGTCACAGGTCTACAGGAATTATTATAACTAAAGGTGATAAAATCACTTTTAAATAAATACTTTGATGCGAATTTGTGAATAGTCGGTTCAAACCTAACCAAAACATTTTCATGGTAAAATCCTAACAACTTTAACATTTCTTTGTATCTTAAAAATCAATTTAATTATAATTGTAATCATTTACAATTATTGTTAATTATTATTAGCTCGATTTAAAAAAAAAAATAGTATTAAATACAAAAAATTTGAGTTGGTGTGGAAATGTGGTAGGTAAGGACTTTTATGGGTCAGCTGCGATAGTAGAAAGTTAACATTATTTTTGAAAATTCTACCTGTTCAAAAACTCAAGTATTATTACTTGTTCAACTAGTTTCTAGTAGTAGTGATGTATTAGTAAATATTAGGAAGACATTTTTAGTTGAGGTATTTATTTAATTTATAGGAAGCCCTTACCCCCTCCACCAGACATTTTGCTTATGGTTTAAGATTCTAAATCAGTCCCTGATGATATATCACTTCTCGCTTTTCTGAGTACAGCACATATCTACTTGTATAAATAATTGTTTTGAGTACATGATTTTCATTATGAGTACACGGTCTACATGCGTACATAGCAAAGTAGGAGGTGGATACTCAAGGCGGGTACTGATTACACCACTCATTATAAATAATTAGTTAAGAGAGATTTACAGTACCATTAACAGAGACTTCAAGCACATTCTCTGCCAGTGGAAATCAAATACCGTGGGCTCGACACTCTCGTTGGCTGCGTTAGCAATGGTCTTATAAGACATCACCAATACTTTTGTACAAGTTTACAAAACATTCATCAGGATCAGCATCTAAATTTCTAAAATGTTACAAAATAATTTTATACTTTCTTATTTACTAATTGAAATAATGAATTAGAAAAAAAACATACTTCAGTACAGGACAAAAACACTCTTAGCACGATCGAACGATGCTCTTGCTATTGATTGTCGTAAGCATGATTCAACCAATGAAAACAAATCCCTCCAAGTCTCAATGCTGAAATCTAACAGAAATGAGATGTTTTAATGGGTGGGTAATTTTTTTTTTTTCATTTAGACTGTTATAGCATCAGTTTCCAACATTTTTCACTGTTAATGGTCAACAATCAACTGTCCTATAAATAAAGCTATTAATGTTCAACATACATCATTTGTGTTATTTAAAGTAATTGAAAACAGGAAAAAAGTGAACTTTAAACATTGAATAAAACTTATGCTTCTATTACAGATATCAACAAAAACCGATGACATAGGATGTATGACATAGCTTACTATACTCTTCTAAAATTTCATAATTTTACGTTAATTACAAAAAAAATAATAGGCAGTTTGAGAATTAGCCAGTTACACATCTTAATGATTTCCACTAAACGCGGTATGGTAGATATTAATAATAGCAATAATATATTCAACGCCCCAAAAGTAAGAGTGCAACATACATAATAAATTATAGATTATGAATGGTATTATACAAAAAAAAAAAAAAGGAAAAGAACACAATTTTTTTACAATGAACATTACTTAACAAAATAATTAGTTAATAGTTATGTAAAAACTGTAGTTTTGGGGGTGGAAACTTACATGAAAAGTGGGACGTGAGTGAGTATTGAAAATAGAAATATAAAATGCAAATGTACTTGGGAGTTCTGGACTATCAAAAATATTTATTTAAATACCTTTATTCTTTCCTAAGGAAACTGTCCATTTTAGCAAGTGTAAAAAAAAAATTATTTAATAAACAACCATTACTTCATTATATGCATATTGATTAATAACGACCGAACAATTTTATCCATGTGAACGAGTTCTCAAATATTCTCGACCAAATTGTATGATACTTTTTTCTTTCCGACTCCCTAAATCAAGGAATAGAGTAGGTATTAGTACTGCTTACCAATTGTTACTAGTTAATTAATATTACAAGATTCTTTTAATACCGGCCTAGCGAAACATTTCTACACTTTAAGAAAGTACCTGTGCGGCGGACCAAAACTCGTAGGCGGTGTCGAGTTATGATGAAGTTGTGGGGTGGAAACCGGTCGCATTCAACTCGACGAGGTACCTTCTTAAAGTGTCCGGAGTATATAGTGCCCAGAACCGGATTTTTGTTTACACTGTCGTCTGTGCTACTGTTATATGCTATAACCTTCACACGCCCTTTACACAAACACACAACTGCACTAAGCTTATTATTACTCATATTATAATGATGTCACTCTGATGGGTGTGGAATAGTCAATGCATCTGTTATAATCGGCATACTTATTATACAAATACAGAGGCTGACTCATGGTCGGTACAGAGCACACCTGCATGGTTATCTGGCGTAGTGATTAAATCAAATTGCAAATATATATATAAAAACTACTTAGAGTCCGTTCCGCTCAGATAAGCTATTTGGGAAAAACATGTTATTGCCATTTTATCGAATTATTTAATTATGACGAATTACTATACTCATGCAAGATACAACTCTGTAGCAGGCAGTTTGTCTATTTTATGTTTTACATGTGTAATAAATTTAAACTTATAATTTAAAAAGTCTTAAATTATTTACAAATCCATCTTCCTGAATTGGTTTCGACTTGAACAACATACACATTTCTTAATAGTTCTGGTACTTGTAACTAGAACTATTACACTACGAAGGTGTGTCCTCTCCGACATCGGAACACTATAAACGATTATGTTTCATTACAACACTGCTATAAGCGTAGCATTAAAATTTATTAATCGTACCGATTGGATTGCGAGTGTTAGAAACTTTTACACAATATGTACTTAATTGTAAGTAGTTTTCAACGAATAAGTTCAATAAGTTTGAGTATGGCACGTCACTATTCTGGTTATTAGTTAAATATCAGTTGAAAATATATTTTAAGGAAACGACAATTACAATAGTTATATCATAATATATAGATTATTAAATACTAAAATAATATAAAAACTGAAGTATATACTGTATTATTTTTTTCTATAATACCTCGCAAAGGCACAAAAAAAAGTAAAAACTGACTAATATGATAACAGACGAACGACTGCGATAGTGCGATAACAAGTTATTGCTATCTTTTTTTTCGAATTGCATAAAATCCTAATGTCTACTACCTATTAGGCTAGTCAAAAAAATTGTATTGCGATTTCATTTTTAGTACAAGTAGAATTAGTTTCTGAGGAAGTCATTTGCCAACGATTTGGTAGCAATGTTTTCAAGTTCAACTCATCACAATTATTCATCATAGTATAACCAAATTTTTTTCTTTTCGAGGGGGTGGATTTTGAAGGAACATAGGTACTTACAAACGTGTTTTATTAATATATAATTTAGTCAAGATAAAATGGACAAAAAGTTTTTAGCTCGAAATTAAATACATAAATAATAATAACACTAGTTTGTCACTGTTGGAACAAGTTAAGAATATAAAATGTTACATCGTATTCTCCTTGAATAGTAAGTGCGCATTATTTTTGTCGTAAAGGAGGGGAACGTGTCAAACATAAAATATATAATGTGGCTTGACATCAATAATATTGTTATTGTACAACGTGTTTTTTCTTTTCTATACCTACCCACTGCATTCCAAAAGAAAACAAACACCGGTTTTGAGCATTACGACAGACGGCTGTCGTGGCGTCGAACCTAGCCAGTAGCCGCTGTCCGCCAAGAAAACAGTATACACCGATTTCAAATAAACTGTACACAATTTGACCATTTTTTTAAAAATATTTTCCATCAATTTTTAAGTTTTAAAGGCCGCTGAACCCAAATCGTGCATATTTTTTTTCTATTGACCACTTCGTTGGGGGGGGGAGTGCCAGGGGGGCATATTTTTGAATTTCCAAATATTTTACATCGATTAATCAAATAAGAAAACTATACTGACTAAAAATAATTATTTGCTGGACGTTATTGATTTGTAGCATATATTAAATACATATACATAGTATTTAATCTGTGTTTGTAGTATGTTGTTGTTATGCCTGGAGGCCGTCTAGGATGGAAGAGGGTTTAGGCAGAACAAAAAGTTGACAGCAAAAGTTGGTAAAAACTTATAATGAAAATTGACTTTTAAAAGATTGAACAACCCTGTGTAATAATAGACAGTATAAAGTACAACAATAGGTCTGTGCAGCAACAGAACGTTTAAGTTGTATGAGTACGGTGCGAGCTGGGCACACAGTGGCGGATTTGAGGGGGGGGGGCGATGGGGCGATCGCCCTCCCCCCCCTTGGCCCAAGAAAAAAGTGGTTGTAATAAATTTCGACCATGTCAATTAATTTACCTGTTAATTTGTATAAGCTTCATATGGTATTATTTTCAATTTAAATCATTTTGTCTGTGAGTAAAAGCCATTTTAATATAATAGTAATTTGTTTGTTCCGTCGCTGAAAACAGATTTGAATTCGTCATGGAGTTTACTTGAAATCGGTCAACGTACTTTTTATAAAATTTTTAAATCAAATTTGGAAGGGTTAAAATTAAAAATTGAAAAAAGTACCCTGTCCGATCCTAAGTAGATTTCGCGGCGAATTCAAATCTGTGTTCAAATTACTTATCGGATTTCTGGTTCGGCCCGTGCGATGGAAAAAAAATGATGTGTTTTGACTGAACGAAGATGATGTTATTGAAAGATTTGCTATAGAAAAAAAAAAGACATTGATTTTATATTATAAATATCTGAGTATTGTACTTTACTTAATTATAAGTACCTATGTATTTGAATTTAAACAAACTTGTTGTAGCTATTTTCTACGAACGTTTATTGGGTCAAAATTAAACTGAATTAATAATGATTAACTAAAAAATAACTAATCAAAATAATGAATACATTGTAACATATTTTGTAGACAATTAAAAAAAGTAAAAAAACAAAAAAAGGCAATTTTATTATACCTACAAAAAGTATAACAACAATTTTTTAAAAAAGTCTAATATCTTCTAAGATATTGTTATTTTTTTTTTAAGTTATTAGTTGGGACAAATATTTTTCAAAATTTTAACACTATCCCTTTTACGTTAAAACCATATCAACTTTGGATTTTTAAATGGTAGCCCCCAATTTTTTTTTATGATTGTGTTTATTTTTTTTAAATTTAATTTTAGGCGTAAAAACTAGATAAATTAGACGAGTACATTAAAGTTATAGCTACTACAATATTAGCTTTTTATACGAGATGCTTTTATAAGTTTTACAACTAAAGAAAAAAATCGTTTTTCACGATTCGCAAAATAAGATCAAAATAAGTGTTCCTAGCGGTGCGGCGTACCTGTACGTACCTATTGAATATTTGTACTATCATTACTAGGAGAGGTCATTTTCTGCTGTGCAAGGAATATTTGCGGTATAGGTTATAGGTGTTGTGTAGTATGTTAAAAATAGATCAAATATTTTTAAACAAAGTATTGTTGGTAAAAGCATATTAATTATAAGTACATATTTTATTTGTCATACTTTAAAACGATTTTTTAACTATCGAATTGCATCAAAACGTACTATTTTCAACCAATATTTTACGGTTTTTTTAATTTTTTTGTTTTAAAATATAATATGCCCCGTATAGCGAAAAAATTTGAGTTTTTTTTAACCTGTGAAACGGGCCTTAGAGTAACCCCGAGATGTCGTATGTGGAACGCAGAGACGCGGTTTAGTGTAATAGTTTCTAAATCCAAATAAGGAGTGATATCTTCTGAACGCCCAAATAGGGATAGTGATATCGCCGTAGAGTTTGTAGACAAGTAGATGGCAGTGAAAGCTTTTGCATCACAATGTCGATAATTTCAAATAAGTTATTCTATTTTTGTCTGTACAACAGATGAAAGTTATCAACATAATAATTTTAATAGAAATTACTGTTTATTTTTTTTTCTTAAAATAAGTTCTCAAGAACAATGTAAGTGTTTTTAACAAATATTACAACTATTAATGTAATTATAAAATAGTAACAAAAGCACATTTTTTTAAAAATGTTTATACAAATATATGAGTGTATTTAAAAAATGTATATCTTATACATGGGTAGTCTTAGTATTTATTTATTTATTTTATAACATTTTGGTTTGTCCCTTTTCGCCCCTGTGCACAGTATTCATTTTTAATACTACCGAAGTACTGTATTTTATTGATTAGTACTGATATATATTTAGTTAATGTAAAATATGTAATTAAAAAATGGTTAAAATTAAAAAAATATGCCCACCTAATTAGGGACCAGTCTAAAGACTGATGCAAAATTTGGATTCAGCGACCTTTAAGAATAAACCTTATAAATTTTGTTTTGAAAAGTAATGTGCAAGAGATTCCTCAATTGTCATTTGTAAAAAACGACAATATCAATTGCAAGGGTTGAAGCATCATATTTAATTGTACATCAAGGCGCCAGAACTGTAATAATCGTTATTTCAATTTTGTATTATTCTTATGCATTATTTTTATCCAATATATTTTATTTGTTGCGTCGACTTAATAGTTTTATTAAATGTATTTTTTTAAATTTAAATTTTGGTGACTGTGAATCTACGATTTGTTTTGTCTAATATTTGTAGTTTATCGGTTTTTATCAGGAAGTAATTGATAAAAAATAAAATAAAGTTTTTATTGACTTTAATATGTATAAAGTCGAATAATGCCAAAAAAAAAAAAATGCAATTAAAATAGTTTCTTTAAAAAATAACAGTATATACTTAAATCAAATAATTAAATGAATAAAATAATGTGGCTTATAAAGTTCTTCCACATTTCAACGGTTAGAGGTACTTTGTCCACTGCTTCAAGCAAACGATTTTCAACAACGGGCAATTTAAATGTCTTGTTGTTTGACTTCACTTGTCGTTTAACTTCAGACCAAACTAACTCTGTTACATAAAACATGTTTGTTGTGTTGTACTACCATTTCATCGATTACGAACTTATTGTAACTTGATATTATTTTATTGACAGCTTCCTGAAAAGGCGTCTCATTGGGTTAGTTAGTTAGTCATGTAAGTTAACAGTTTAATAAGTCAACTTTATTGTTCTACGTACATAATACATTTCTACAATAATTTTCCAATTATTACTTTATTGTGTTACTGAAATACTATTTATCATTATTACTATACAAGTTGTGTTTGCTTTTGCCAAGTTAAGGGTTAAATTTGCCTTTTTTCAGTAACTAAGTTACTACTAAGATGCAAGTACCGACTTACACGAATTACTAACTCACGCCAACAGAAATAGTTACATAAATTCATATGACATCTGTTACCAAGTTATAAAAGATAATCAAACAAGAATTTGGAAAAACATTCAGTTTTTAGTAAGTTTCTTTGCTTAATAAGTATAGTCAGAACATTAAACATGATGTGTATAGTAATTAGTATTAACACATATTAATGTAATCACTATTCAAATTTAAACTACTTAACGAACCAGTGGCGGTTTTAGCATATATTTTTGACTGAGGCAACTAAATATAAAATGCACTCGTATTAAAAACCAACCCTACTTTGTTTTGACAGTTTATTTTTATCATAACCATTCCATGTCATTCTCAAAAACCTGTTTTTTAATGTTAAATGGTTCATATTTTAGATACAAAGAATCAACACCATTAACGAACTAAATAAAAAAATTGACTTTTCGAGAAAAAAAAATTCAAGTTTACGTGAAAACATATATCTCTACTTCAGTATAAATTTACTGTGGGCCAAATACAATATGGAAAGTATGTAAAGTTTTAGTATGTAATCAATCGCCTTCTTCGTAATAAGTATGTTTAACAAATATTATAATAATTATAAAAAAAAAAAATTATGTATGAAGTGACGTGAGGCGTGCAACGAAAAGGCCTAGGGCGAAGCTTTCTTTTCACCAAAAGGCAAAAGCATTACAATCGAACATT